ACGATATTATGACGAAGTTTTTACGTGAGGGTAGATGATCTATCGAAGTATAGTGAAAAAACCGTTAAAATTTGAAAATTTATCTTGGAATATTGTTTATCACACATGTACAACTATAACTCTACTTTTGAACTATTTTAGCACTCGACTATTGCTTTTTTTCACTATACTTCGATCGGAAAACATCTACGAATCACTTTTAAATATAAACAGTTAATTACAGAGTAGGATTACCTTAATCTAGTAACACTAAGTAGCTGCGACACCCAGTTGCCTATGTTCACCTACCATGATTAAAAACTATACACGCGCATCTTTGGTTAACCGAAAGGCGGGATGTTTGCGCGAAAATAAAATTTTTCAAACATATTTTTGTTGCAATATTAAATAAATGCGCTCAAGTAATGTAAGGATAGCAAATCATATTGTTCTTTATTGCTTGAAACTTGATACGGACCAGCAAGTCAAGTCTTATTTCCATTTGTCAAATTTTCATTGGATTTTCGACCTTATATCAAAACTATAAAGTTGAAATTCGAATGACAGAAAAATTAAAATTGACCTGTTGTGTCCGTAACAAGATAAAAAATAGAATAAATAAAAGGGAGAATCGTATATACTGTATACTTACTTATGTCTACACGGCAATATATAATTGAATCTATCTATGCGTATAATTATCTAAGCCTAACATGGCACGCACGGGACCTCAGCGCACAAACATAACCCGCCAAAATCATTCTAATATACATTCACTAAACATTTCGTTGCTATTGTGAAGTGACCGAGATAAACAAAAAAAGATTTTAAACTTTTAAGCTATGACAATAAAGACTAAATTACAATGTGGGAACTAGATAACTATGGGTAAGTGTTGGACACTTTTAATGTACATTTTTCACCTCGGTCACTCCACACCACGCGTTAAGACGGTTCCAAGACTCCCACACAACATTTATACTTAATGTTGAACTGTGTGAAGGGGCACTAAGGACCATTATTCCTCGAGACAATTCTAGAGATCCGCAAAACAGGTAATACCACCACAGAACCAAACGGAACCCGTTACATCTTAATTGACGAACCACTAATAAGCAGTCTTCACAGTTATATTGATAATAACTAGATTACAATTATTAATAATAAAAAATACTGGACCATAACTTGATTTAATAGGAATTACACGGGTCGGAGGGACGAGTGGGCATACTATTTAATAATGTACTCTACTACTTTAATCACAAGTGTCATTTTATTTTAACATTGCTTTTCAAATTTAAAACAAGGCTTTTTAGCTAACGAATGTATCGACATCGATAGTTTGAGCAAGAAATTTACAAATAACGTTTTTTTATGTAATTATTACAACCGAATTGTACTAGTTTCCACAATTATAGTGAGCTAAAAAAATATATGCCTCCATCACTCGTCGTCCCGACATATACAACTATAGACAATACATCCTATATAATTTAATTACGAAAAAAAACACGTTTACGTTGACAAAATATTTCCATAGACGATTATAATACTTTGCTAGAAAAAAATATTTTAAAAATATATTTTTAATATTTAAATGCGTAACACATCTATTGCACTGCGACTAAATTATATATAAATAAAATGGCTATTGACCTTCAGGATCAATACAACATATTAAAGATCAAAAATACACATAACTTTAACATATTTTCTACGGTTATAGTTATATTTTTGATCCTAATATTGATCCTGACTAAGAAACAAAAACATACAGTTTGTACTAGTACGAGTATTCATACGATAGTGGACTATTTAAGATATTTTATCGAATTATACTCCAAAAAGCCAAAATGTGTAAAGTAGAATAGACGTGAGAAACAAAAAATGTTAAGATACTATTCATCGATTCGAAACCTTACGTTTCCTAATAGGTTTTAACCAAAAATCAACAAAAAATGTTGTGATGATCAGTTACTATACTATAATAAATACATTTAAGTTTCATCTTCATTTAAATTCAATCTTAAAAAAAGTCATAACTATCACTTAATGACACTAATTCAGACACATCTTTGTTCAAAACTTCTAACATAAAATTATCCATCCCTTTACACCTGTACACTTCAGCCCATCAAAGTATAATTCGATAAAGAAAATCAAAGTTTAAAGAAGCATTGTGTGCAAAGAAAAAATTGAGAAAATCCTTCATTAATATCTCATTACACAACCTCAGCTTACATCATAAGAGAAAGTCATTACTTCTCTTTAACCAACGACATCCAATAATTTATTGTTGTCATTTGAGCATACAATCCGAGAAAGTACTATAAAGTTAGGTTATGGATCCAACTAGCGAAGTCCATTTTTAAGGAACACTTTGCTTGGTATTTTAGTAAATAAAATCAGTCAATCATTAGTCTATTTATGTTTTTACTATGACTACGTTCTGTCAGTAGAAGTCTTAAGGAATGTGAAACTTTTTTTATTTTCATTTTATTATTGGCATAGTGTAACTTGTGTCTGATTAACTTGTTCTTATATTTACTGTAACATAACGTTGACATATTTCGTATGGAAAATATGTCATCAGTTTCTTTAGTTTCTCGCTAAACACGATGCAATAGTGGCACTAGCAGAGGATTAATTCGCCTTCAAGTTTTCTATCAGCAGTCAAAGGGTTAAACAATGATTTTATTTAATTACCAAGCAAATGAACCTCGAATACCATCAGAAACCATTCAAGACTCCTTTATCAGCCTTTCTTAGGCAAGTCAGCGTCTAACACTGATACTAAAGTACCAGTCATTGTCATAATCAGTCGTTTTTTATCAGTAGATCAATTGCAAACAAACAGAATGAGATGAAAGTTTTGTAGTAGTTGATACTGAAATAACCTGAGGTCTTATTTGTTCAACAGGGAATTTCTTAGGGTTATGGAGACACGGCGCATCGTCGCTCATAATGTTAATTTGGGTGAGCGATGACACGACCCGGTGCGGCAGTACACGACGCAAACAATGCGCTACGTAAATTATTATGTTTTCGGCTTACTCACGTAGTAATTTGACGAGGAACTCGACTAGTTTCAAGCCATGCTAGAGGCATTTCATATTCATGAAACATGGCATGGCTTGAAACTAGTCGAGTTCCTCGTCAAATTACTACGTGAGTAAGCCGAAAACATAATAATTTATTTAGTATGTCTCGCGAAAGTTACAATACAAATGCGCAACGTCTCCATAAATAAGGTATTAGTGTCTAAACATTTTGACACGCACAATAATTAAACAAATAGGACCTCACGCTACCTCAAGTGCCATAAAAACGCTGTTCGATCTATATAGGAATTTAGACGCAGTTATATTATTACTTTCAATAGGCTTACCCCTATTACATGGGGCTCATAACATAAATAGTGAAATGTGGACTTTACAGGCATTAAGTGCCGTAATGTGCACCTCTGCATACTCCTTCGGGGATAAAAGGTGTTATGTTATGTACACTTTCAAGATAACATAACGCTGTTTCATCCCGCAACGTATAGACAGAGGTGTACATATTTGTACCAATTATGTTACGAGTCCCATGTAATAGTGTGCGCCGATATATTATTAAGAATAACGATTCTAATTACTATAGCTATTTCTAATATTTTCTTAAATTTTAGTTGTATATATTAGATTTGTTTACAATTGATCCGCTGAATCATTTTAGATGTGTTTAAAAGGGGACAAGTCGATCGAGTACAAAATAAATAAATAATTAGTTAATAGAAAGTATTCGTAGAACCCAATAGTTTCTTTATAAATAAATATTTTAAACATAAAACTTAAAATCTCACAAGTCGCTTGCAAAAACGAAACATTAAAATCACGTATCGGTACGCGAATATAAACTTTAACGTTTGCGTAGTAAAGACTATTTTAAAATAATTTTACAACTTAATCATTATACACGATTGATCTATTATAATTCTTATATCAAAAGAAATAAAGTTGAAAACAGATCGACTATAAACACAATTAGTCTTCAAGAACGTACGGGATTTTTCAATCGAAAATGACACTTCAAGTCAGAGTTATAAGGTTTAAAATTACTCTTAACATACAAATTATCTAGCTTCATCTATTTTAACGGATAATATATAGAAAAACTGTTATTTTTTAGTCATAGGCCTACCTCGAAATGAGGGTTTTGCGACGCCAGAGGTCGCTAGTGTCGAAAAGTCTCTTAGACTATTAGCTAATTTCAAGATATTGGTCAGATAACTTTAGTGATTGGACTAGTACGATATTAAACTATACTAGCGACACCTAGTGACCGCAAAATGCGAGATCTTTTATTCAAACCGTAGTTCAACAATAGTGAGGTTTAATATTATTATTGCTTCTATCAATTTTGAAAGGATAATGAAGTAATATGTCTAACTAATAGAACTTACTTGTTTAAAATAGCTTCTAGCTTTAAGCACAGCTTAAAAAGCTTGTAAAGCTGTCACATTACAACACTCAAAATAGACAATTTTTAACTAAATTAGTCGAAGTAAAATAGTTAAGAATCACATACCAAAATAACTACCGACTGTAGTACGGAGGTATTTTTCAAAAAAGGCTTCAAGTCTCAAAAGACTCAGTGTTTAAATACACAAAAAAGTTCTTACATATCTCACTTGTCAGACACTACAACTCCAAACTGTCGTTTGAAAGCTTCTTCAATCGATTATCAACCTTACATCCTCAACAATAGAGTTCAATATCAATTCAATCGTTCTTAATTCACATTGATCTGAAGTTGTCTGTACATACATGTGGCTATATTCACGTCGGTATAGGCATAGCTTTTCAACCCTACAACTTCAACAATAGAATAGAAAATCAATTACATTACTTTGAAGTGAAATTGTCTGTACATACATGTGGCTACATTCACGTCGGTATAGCGGCGGGGTAGGCACGGTAACACAACGCGCTGAGTATTCTTACATGTGATGTGATGTGGGTGTAATAGTGATGTATTTATTACCGGGATTCTTGGTCCGGTGTGTCTGCGTACCTGTAAAAAATTCTTATTGGTGAGACAAAGTTCGCATAAGCTAGAATAGTCTGTGTAAAATATAGATCCGTATTAATGGAAAAGAATGGGATAATTAAAGACTGAAAAAAACATTTATATGCTAACGTACGAGTGTCTGGGAGACTACCTCGAAGGCTTACTTCTTTGTGTATTTATTTAAACTAACCAGTAAGATATCTAATATTAAAAAATAAAACTGACTTTAACATGTCCAATGTGAGAGAGCCATGCTTCGGCAATGGTCCGGGTCTACCGGAGTGATACGGTCTCACAGAAAACTGACATGGCGCTTGCGTTGTGTTTCGTCATATGAGTGAGGGTTATCGGGGGCCCAATTAATTATCTCCCCCCTCCCATCTCGAATCTCTCCAATCCATGAATTCCCAACAATTCTCAAACTTCTAATCCCTTAAATCCTCAAAAGGCTGGTAACTCACTTGTAACTGGCGTTCCAGGTGTCCATAGGCGACGCCGATTGCTTACAATCAGGTGATCCGTATGCTCGTTTACCGGCTCATACCATAAAAAATGTCTTGTATATGAGTATCACTCGCAGTATCCACATTTAGACTTTAAATCGCGATCACAATAATGTTTATAATCCCCATACCTAGCATTAGTGTCGGTGAGCAGCGTGCCGTAGGCGGCCAGCGCGCAGTAGGCGGCGAGCAGCGCGGCGTGGTGGTGCGCGCGCGCGTGGTGCGGCGCGGTGCGCGCGTGCGCCCCCAGCGCGGCCCAGCAGTACAGCGAGGCGCGCGCGTCGCTGTCCGCCGCCCACTGCGCGCGCGCCGTGCCCGCGCCGCCGCACGCCGCCGACATCGTGCAGAAGTTCATCGCTTTCCAGCCGCCGTATCTAGTTCAACAATTAATTAAACGATTCAAAAAATATCCCAGCGTGCCAAATGTGCCTACACAACAATGTCTTTTATGACACAATTAAACTAGTGAAATAGAAAACATTTTTTCAAAATATCTCGATATTAAATCTATTTACCGTTGATTGCGTTACTTGAAATGGAGTTGTATCACACTTTGCAAGATATTTTTTAAGTATTTACTGCAAAGATTAAGCACACAAACTAAAATTGTACGTAAACCATCAAATATCAATAGAAAAACGTATCAACTCACTTGTCAACAACAACAACAGGCCCATTCTTATACTCCATCTGACACCCGGCGACATACTCGACCAGTGCAAACGAGTCCTTATACGGCTCTATAAGCCTATCTATAGCAGTCTCCCTCTCGCCCTCCGTGGCCGCCTGCCTCACAGCCTTGATGAACTCATTCTCGTCCGGCCTCCCTTGAACATAGTCCGTAGTATCCCCATCCAACCACCGACTGCACTTAATAAATTTAATACTTAACTGATAGTCATCTTGCAACGAATGCACACTAACATTTGTAACTTCTACGACTCTATCCAACGGCACATCGTCCGGTACTTTATCCACCTTCTCAAAGAAATAACATGGACGTCGCAATTCAGCTTCTTCTTCGACCGTCAAAGCTGGTGCGATTGGAGGTGGTGGGGGCGCTGTGTCTGGAGGAGATCCCGCTGTCCTATTCCCCCAATCGGGGAATTTGAATTTTGTTGGGGAGCTTAATTTAAAGTTTTTGAGGGACATTTTTGACGGGGATCTGGGGGATTTGGGGCCGTTTTTCTTTTCTGAGAGGGAGGAGAATAGGTCACCGTTTGCTATTGATTTTCTGGCTGAAAGATCTCGGTTGCCGGTGCTGAGTCTTTCGAGTCTGAGTTCAGTTCTGTCGAAGCGGTAGGCTGGTTCTGTATCAGTGACTGGGGAGCTGTTCTCTGGTATGAGCCTCTCATCATCAGCACAGTCACTGCTCTCCTGTCGCCTGTATCCATTGGTCTCTGGTTCCACAGGAGATTCTGCGGGCGTTTTTCTGTCGACCTTCCGATGCGCCACGTAAGTGTCTTTAGATACAAAACTAGCTCTGAAGTTGGCAACGAATAGTTCTTTCTCTTCTTCTGTCGGCCAGAAAATTTCGCATTCCTAGAATGAAAATACAAAGTAAGAAATGGAAACAATAGTGAATTACTACAGGCATCGGAGAAAAAACAGCTTTGAATTGTTGAATATTGTATCAATAACGAATAAAAATTCATTAAAATACAGCAGGGTGCAGTGGGTAATTTAATGATTTTGGATTAAGATCATTTTTGAAATTCAATTTTATAATAACTATCGTGAGACATACTAAAGGTCGCACACGCTGCTCATTAAGAAGAGCGCTTCTGTAATTCAAAATAAGTAGTAATGGATATTTGCAAAAACCTAAAACGATCCAGAGGGATTTGGATTAAGATGTCAACGATCCAGGGATTCATCATTAATTCGAATGTCGGTCATGCGGTGCTGCGCCACGCAGTACTCGCGCATTAGTAGAAAGTACGTCGTGCAGTACGTCGTGCAGTACGTTACCGGGTCGTCGGTGTCGGCCAGCAGCAGCACGAGCTGCGCCGTGTGGTCCCACAGCAGCCGCCACAGCTCGGGCGCGCGCGCCGCGGGGTGCTGCGCCACGCAGTACTCGCGCATTAGTAGAAAGTACGTCGTGCAGTACGTTACCGGGTCGTCGGTGTCGGCCAGCAGCAGCACGAGCTGCGCCGTGTGGTCCCACAGCAGCCGCCACAGCTCGGGCGCGCGCGCCGCGGGGTGCTGCGCCACGCAGTACTCGCGCATTAGTAGAAAGTACGTCGTGCAGTACGTTACCGGGTCGTCGGTGTCGGCCAGCAGCAGCACGAGCTGCGCCGTGTGGTCCCACAGCAGCCGCCACAGCTCGGGCGCGCGCGCCGCGGGGTGCTGCGCCACGCAGTACTCGCGCACGCGGCGCCGCCCGCACACCCACGACGCGTTCACGTACTCGCTGCCTGCAACCGACGACAAAATACATCGTACCTGTTTGCTTTTCTGTTACACTGTTATCTAATTTCACTGTTATCTAAACGATGTTGTTTAGTTTTCGACAACCACGCGAACGAAGTCGCGGGCACAGCTAGTACCAACTAAAAAAATAACCGTGACATCAGATAGCATACCAGAATCCAAAAACCTTTTTACATTATTTAAACTCAAACTTGAAACTCTCAACGAAATGAAACATTGCACCTAAACATATTATTTCAATCACAGTTTATGACTATAATCAAGATACATACCTTCAACTCCCGGTTTAGGTACAAGCATGACTCTGGCTGAATCCGACGGTAATATACCGCCGGGCCTGTTCTTCTCTGCGTTATGCGGCGCACGCGCACACACACTCGCTTCCACGCATGATCTTGTAATAAGCTAAGAAAAAAAAACGACAATGTACCATCGTACCACATGACGAGTCTACGCCACATTTGTTTACTGAGAAATCAAAAAAGCGTTTCTTAAACCTACCTACCATGAAAAAATGGCGAAATACTTGATTCATAATAAAAATGCACAATATTGCGCTACTTGCGCAAAGATCCGTTCAATTTGCGCAAAGATCGTGCATTTTGCGCAAAGATCGTGCAATTTGCGCAAAGATTGCGTGTGATTACTTCTTCTATTATAAAGTTTATTTACACAGTGTCGTTGGTATTAAGTAAAGTTCTATAAAGTAACCATTCTTAATTAATTTGATTGTTTATTATTCCAAAAATACTCACCAGAAACTGTTTCTCCAACAAGTTAACGGGCGGTGGGCCCTGGTACGTATGATGTCTGTTCGCTAACGACCTCATACGTTCCAACAACGCATAGTTTTCAGCACGATTCGCTCTGAAATACAATACATTACTACCAAAACCGTTTTATTTTATATCATATCATAATATCATATCATTTATCCCCGAAGGGGTAGGCAGAAGTCCACATTTCATTCATTTCATTGACTTAATGTCAATGTACAATGTAACACCCACTTTCCATTTATATTATGAGTCCCGAGCCTTTATTTTATATTATTAGAAAAATACTTTCAAAGAATGAATGCTAATGACAGACAGACTGACACATCTTGGCCTAGTAGTCTAACAGCCATTTTCTATAAACTATCTATTTGTAGATATTTTTTCTTTTTTCTTCTTTGGCAACCGAGTCTCCATCTGTAGATTTGCTTACTGAGATAGAATTTTGACACATTTTGTATGGAGCTTATGTCAAAATTCTATCTCAGTAAGCAAATCTACAGATAGAGATTATAGAAAATGGCCGTAACTGAAATTAACGATTTAACTTTGACTTTACTAATAACTCGTTTCCTGATTTTTTGTTCAATGAGAAAAAATCTATTGTGATTACCCAAAATACGACCGTAAAGACCCATTGCAATGACACAACTTATAGTCAAGACTACAGTTAAAAAATACTCTAAAAGAACTCACCTCCTCATCTCTTCTTTCTCCATCTCACTCATATTGTTATACGCCTGCATCCTCTTACTATACGTGTCAGTAGACCTTGGAGCCAGGTCATAGACTCCCTCGTTCTCCTCTCCATTCACCATCCCATCCTTAGGCTCATCAGTACCTTCAGAATCCTTAACCGACTTACTCTGTTCACTGTTCAGATCATCCGTCTTTATCGACACTTGACTACCATTCTCCAATACTTCTTTTTCACTTGCATTCTGACTGGATTTTATGCTAGAAGTCTCGCCATTTTCAACGCCGTTCGACAAGTCATTTGTGCTCTTATGTTTAGGGGGATTAAGGTCTAAAACTGCTAGTTCTTCATCAGAGATCGGTTCTAGGAGTTTTAATAGATATTGTCTGGCTTTAGGGAACTCTACTTCTGTGTCTCCTGAGCGGACATGTTCTAGGAGTGCGTCGTGCACGAAGACATATTGTTCCTCTGTCTGCACGAGATGGTTGCGCTGTGTTCGTGCTCGGCATAGGAAACCCAGCGGCGAGAGTGTGCCTGTCAGTTTGAGTTGATTCAGTTGTGCGTCCAGCACTATGTATGTGCCTGTACGTCCTACACCCGCACTGTAATAAAAATTAATGTATTGTAAGATTTGTAAATGTGAAGTTTAGATGCATCTTGAATTTAAAGACTAAAATATAATGAAAAGGTGCTGCCACTAAAGTCGTAGATAAGTCAGTTGGAAGGTCATAAGGATACCATTTTAACTAAGGTTGTATCTTCTGTTTAATAGAAAATTGTCAAAACAGATTTTCAAGCAATGATTTGTAAACAAAACATGACATAATGTCGTAAGTTTCCTTAAACCCCTAAAAGGTAGGTTAGAGTTGTTGAGACAGTGCCATGTCCCATTTGAGTCCCATGGCACATGCTCCAACAAATCATCATAAAAATGAAAAATAAACCTTAAACCTAGGACAATAAAACTCAAATACACTCCACATACCTGCAATGAACCAAAACAGTAGAAGGATGTTTCCCAGCCGCCTTCACAAACGGTAGTACAGCTAGGGGATGCCTAGGAGTCCCGTGGTCAGGCCACACCGTGTAGTGGTACTGCACTATACTGCGACCTTCACTGCCCGAGCCTGACGTGTCGCCACTGGTCGGTGACGTGCCCTGGGGGAGGGAGGTAAGTTTGTGAGTTGTGGCGTGAATTTTATGTAAATTATACTAAAGTTGATGATGAATATCTTCAAGAGTATATTAATCAAGCCATATTACACAAGTTGGTAGACATAAAAAAAACTAATCTGTATTACCAAACAAAAGTATTAACAATTATAACGGAAATGTTTGTTTCTGGGAAGTTATCTAGCATAAAGCCCATTTTTAGCGTCTAGAAAAGACGAAAAAATACATTTACGCTAGTATGTATTTATTGCGCAAATTCGTTGCGCAACGACATTACAAGTGTGTACTACATTTTGCGCAATAATACAAAACAGTATTCCATACCGGTGCGCAGTCGGCCGTGACGCGCATGTGGCGCACGGTGTATGCGGCGCGCACGTCCTCGTGCAGCAACGTCACGCGCACGCCGCCGAACTCCGCCGCGCTGCCCGCGCCGCCCGCCGGCCAGTACATGTCGCACTTACGCTGCCGGACAACAGATTTTAAGGTTAATCATAAAATAATCGATAATGTAATATTTATTCTATTTACTATAAACTTTATATCACACAAGTGTGGGAAAGCCAAGCTTCGCCACGAATAGGCCAGCTCGACCATAATGATACCATAGCCACACAGAAAATCAGCGCGAAACAATACTGTTGCATTGTGTCGTTGTGTGAATAATTTCGTCGGTTTTTTTTATGGAATAGGAGGCAAACAAGCAGACGGATGACCTGATGGTAAGCGATCAGCGCCGCCCATGGACACCCGCAACACCAGAAACACAGGTGCGTTACCGAAGATCCAATTACCCCCCTCTTCAATCCTCGAATCCTCACTTCTCAAATCCCTAACCCACAAAAGGCCGGCAACGCGCTTGTAATTCCTCCAGTGTTAAAAAATCTTATTGGCGCAAGCCTGTGCCAATAGCAAGGTATCCATATGCTTGTTTACCCACCTAAATACACCTGATTATCTATTATAATCATAAATTCATAAATAATATTTATATTCATAAATTCAGGTATATCTTACCCGTCCCCGCTCCACAAGGTTGGTGATCATAACAACAGTATGGACTCTGTGTTGCCAGATCATGCGCCAAAAAGCGTCCAGTGTTGCTGGCGTAGGACCTTGGGTTGCAATGTACCGACGTCGCCATATTAACCATTCTAACTTGACTCGGGTTGGAACGCCGTCTGTGAAGAAAAATATATTAAATTCTTTATACTTTTTCTCAATAATATTTGGGTCAAATCAAAATTATTTTAGTCCGTAACCTGCGGTAAAAAGATTAGATTATAATAGAAAAGCGACACTTTTATTGGGAAGTCCTATCGGTAAAAAGCAATGGCTATCAATAAAAATTTTTAATATAAAGATTATTTTTTTTAATAAGAAGATTAAGTTTTAACATCGAATCTTAATATCTTTTGTTTAAGGATACAGCTCATGACTTACATAAAGGGAAAGTAGAAAGAGAAAAGCATGTGTGTGAAGAAGAAAGAGGTGGGGGAAAATGTAGAGAAATAAGAAGATAGAGAGAAAATCTCATTTAATTCTGAATTTTCGATAAAAGGTTACTTACCAATATCAACATAGACATCATCCAATTCGGAGTCAGAATCGCTCCTATCGCTGTCCGAATCAGAATTCTGTTCGTCCGACTCGACTATACCGGAGAACTCAATGTTCAGGAACGCTGACTCGATGCCTTCAGCCAGGTTTGGAGGAGGCTTCGATGGTTTAACTGATGATTGCCTGCAAAAAAAAAGTGTTATACAATATTTTCTAAACAGTTATGAGAAGATTTTTAATAATAAAAATATCATAATTATATATGTTTGTACTTTAGGCATAAATGACATAAGGTAATTTCCTTAATCAAAAATAAATAATTTCAACTATTCAATACAATAAAAAATTAAAAAGTAAGCACACGTTTAATATTTAATTTTAGTATTTTTCTGCAATTTTTTAAGAAATAAGTATGCTGTTTGACGCTAAAAAACGTGAAGTCGCAATACACAATCTCGTACAAATTCATAGAAAACTGTTGTTTTTGACAGTTCGAAAAAAGTATTGAATTTGACTAGTTGGCAAGTACCAATTCATATTTTGTTCTTGAGATATCAAAAGATATCATTTCTAATATCTACATCTAGCGAATGAGTCACCTAGACCCGAAGACCAAATGGAAACCAAACAATTTACAAGAAAAAAAACAATCAGAAATCAGAAATAATTTATTTGCCAACGTTACGATTTGTATGATAATGCACTGTTCAATATGTTACTTTCTTTAACATCCATTTAGATCTTGACATTTCTGAATTCACTGTTTCAGTGTATGTTTTCATTAGTCATAACTAACGACCCGCTCCGGCTTCGCACGGGTGCAATATGCATGTATTATAATACATATAAACCTTGCATAATATCTATTAAAAAAAACAGCATCATAATCCGTTGCGTAGTTTTAAAGATTTAAGCATACATAGGGACAGACAGACGGCGGATAGCGACTTTTTTTGTACTATGTAGTGATAAGTGATAGTTAATTAGAATGATTAGTTACCTATGCGGTCTATTCCTCCGCTCCAGTTTTCTGCGAATCCTGGCGAGATGATGCGGCTGCAGCTGCGGCAGCATGCCGTCGATGAAGTTGGCGTTGACGTAGTCGCAGGCCGAGCGGCCGCCGCCCGCGCCCGCGCCGCCCGCGCCCACGCAGCCCGCCGCGCCGCAGCGCCCGCCCAGCGACACGCACACTCGGGAGTGGTCGTCTGGCGGGGGAACATCAGAATAACTTCATTTTTTTAAGGGATACGTAAACTATCAGACGGGTCACCTGATCCATGGATGCCCAGAACACGCGGTACCGCCTTTTGGGGACTAGGAATTGGGAATTGTTGGAGATTCCGAGATTGGGGAGATTGGGGAGGGAGGTTACTCGGGCTTCAGTAATTGGGTTTTTTTTTAACATTTTAATATAATATTGTCTTGACACTAAATTTAATAAATATACCTAATACAATATACATTTTTGTACCTACGTACGAAATAACTAATTTACACATTGCGGAAAAAAAATATTATTATGTAGGTAGGTAAAATTTATATTTAATTGCGATAAATATTCCCTAATAAGCAAAAATATTCAAATTTTAACATAATTCTATAAGTATGTTTTCCTGCAAATGTACAATGCGCAAAAATATCAGCAATAATAATAACCTTGCTTGACAGGTGGGTTGGATATAGCAATATAAAAACCGCTGTCCCGTACCCGGGTTTATGAAACCCACGGAAAGAGTTGAAGTGGTAATAAATGTGTCTTCCTCCGCCATTATCAAATATCACATGTATATTATCAGTAAGATAGAAGGATACTCACATGCAGTAATATTCAGGTATCGATTTTTCAGTCTATTTTCTGGTCTATGACTATGATGGCTGGTGTGACCCAACGCCGCTGACTTGGCTACTACGATCTCGTACTCTTTGCTGTAATGTAACACAATATTTTATGATAACTGGAATTAAATACTATAGAGTAGCTTGTATCAATCAACTTATAGTCCATCTGTTTAGGTAATTAACTAAAGGTAAACAAAGAAAACCACGTGACACAGAGATACTTAACCTACTATTACTCAGCGCCGTAAATAGGGCGGTGCCAGCGGTGCCCAGGCACAGGGCGCAGACCCTGGAGGGGCGCAGAAATGACCAAACCGCCCTACTGTACTATCTAAACCTGTATCACATTCTTAAACAATCTTGAATCCACAACACATGTCAAACGACTTACGACACATCAGACAAATGTATAACCACCTTAAGTCTTGCTCGCAATATTACATACACAAACAAAAGTAGGTAGGTACCTATACTATAATTTTCACTGATATGCCACAAAAAATAAATCTTCAATATATGTATATTTTTCATATAAAAAAAATTACAAATAAAACACATGACAGAGCTAATTCATAGATTACTTAATAGTTACTACGCAAACTTCTTATTAATTGCCCTTTTAAGAACGCATCCAATATTTACTACCTAATATCTGAACGGATCCATATTCGGACGGGGATTCCCTGATACATCGAGAATTACGCATTCAGATTTCGTTTCGACCACGTCCGGGGGAACCGGAAGATTATAATTATGATAATTATTGATTGTTTTATCAACCATAGTCATTACTAAAATTGTGTGTAAGATTTAAGAGTGAATACGTTTATAGCTGTTTTGTTTCATTGATAAACTCGATGAAGTAAGTTAGAAAATTGTATTGCAGGTAAAGGTGTAGGACATGTATTCTCCCAATAAGAATATTTAAAAGTGTTACATAGGAAGTATAGGTATTATCATTTTTTAAATAAAAACTTAAATAAAATAAAAACAAACCATTACTAAATTAAATATATACAACTTACCAAGATTAAAATTAATTAAAAGAAAAACAAAAACAACTATTTACATAAAGCATCGAAAAATTCGTCCGCATAGACATACATAGAGTGTCGACCAGGCGTTTCGAAATGTTTTTGAATAATTGAAACGCACTCGGACCCGATTCTCGCGCACTCGGATTCTTAAGTTGACACATCTCATGACCAGAGGGCTGGTCTTTTTCTCGGTCAGAGGTTAAGCATTGCCATACAACGTGGCAATGCTGCCAGCCTTCTGGGTACATTCCTCATAGGAAGTTGAATGAAGATTATATTATTTGATAAATGTGAATGTCAGTCAAGTATGGGTCTTCTCAAAGCTATAGTTGAACTGGATTTAGAGGAAATATTTCCCAATGTAATAGTCGCTATAAATATACCTATTTTTATCCATGCGAGTTACTGTAGCTTCCTGCGAGAGACCATTTAGTAAGCTCAAATTAATAAAGACGTACGATGAGTACGTGCGATCGACGATGGGCCAAGAAAGATTGTCTGGCCTAGCGATTTTGTCGATTGAACGCGACATAGCACAGCTTCTGTCGTATGAAAATGTAATTAAGGACTTCACAATGAGAAAAGCGCGGAAAGTTAATCTTTAAGTAATCTTAAAGTAAGGACATCCTTGGTCTTTACTATCGAGTAATTTGTGTCATTTCTGTATGTAAGCAAATATTTTTATGCTATTATTTATCATTTTTTATTTTCTTAAAATTTTTAACAAATTATCTTAAAAGATCTACTAAGTACCGACCTATATCTTGATAAATAATAAATAGTTCTATTTTCATGCACATTTGTCCATTTTATTGTCAGAGCCTGGTAAGGGCTCGATACTAGGTCCATTCTTATTTTTAGTGTACGTAAATGACTTGCCCTATTTATTTAAAAATGAACCGCAGGTGGTATTATTTGCTGATGACACTTCATTAGTTTTTAAAATAAATAGACGCACAAATAATTATGACGACGTAAATAATGCCCTAATTAAAGTTCAAAATTGGTTTACATTAAATAACCTAGTACTAAACAATAAAAAAACAAAATGTATTAGATTTGTTTTGCCAAATGTTAAAAGCAACGAATGTGACATAATATTATTGAATGGTGAGAAATTCAAGGGCGCAGTTTTGAAAGCTCACACCGGGCGCATAAAAGGCTAGTTACGGCACTGCTATTACTTCAAATATTTCTCGTGTTTTAATTTTAACTAAATTCACTTTAAAATCGTTCATTTGTCATACACACACATACAAGTACAAATGCCTAAATCGTACAAGAGCCTAGCCTATGGGTCTATTTCATTATCATGTTTAAATAGAAACTATTCTGAATCTGATGTACGGATTTTTTCTTGTACGGATATGTGTCTTTGGGCCAAGTTTCTTCGATATATTTGAACACATTAATTACAAACGATGAATAACCTAAACTTAAATAACTTAATAACAAAAACAAAACAAAGAAACAAGATAAATTCAACAAAATAGAAACGCGAGCGCAAACGACGAGAGAGCTGTCAATGGCGCCTGAGTAACCGACTAAACGTAATACACGCTACTTTCATTGTCGCGCTACATCTTAGTTGTACTCTTTAATTTGACAACATTATTTTGCTTCGTTCTTAAAGAAGGGTTTTGGATACCTGGGATTTTAGGCTCTTTATGGTGTCTATTGTAATGAAATATTATATTATTTAATAAATGTTATTAAATTAATATCCTCAAGCAAATATATATAATATTTACTAAGAAATAAGTGAAAAGGATCAGAACCATAACATTTAATAGAGAAAACTGTCGTAAAAAGGGAAACAATTTTATTTTCTTATGAAGTATTTTGAATCATGGAAATGTCAACTATAAAGAACTCTTTTTATGGTTTGTTTACAAATAGTTAACTACCTAAACAGACGGAGTATAGGGACGAAATTGTGAATATTTTAATTAAAAAAAACCTGACTCAATAAAAGGGCTTATGTTGTTCTTGAATGACCTTATGATGGCTCGGTTATATTTAAAGGGTATATTTAAAGCTGTCATTTATGATATTCAACCCCCAATCCTGAAAGAGTTATCGCGACAGTCGACGCGTCGGGTGTCGCGAAATGCTGCTCATGAATATGAGCCTCTAGCATGGCTTGAAACTAGTCGAGTTCCTCGTCAATAATTACGTGAGTAAGCCGCAACACATCAGAGTTTATTAAGACTCGATATGTTGATGAGCTTAACCCAACCGACAGAAAAATATATTATTTACTAGCTACTACTATTTATAATCATCTAGAATAGTAAGACTTCGTAAATATTCTAGTCCCAAAAATTACCTGAATCCAATATCCCCATCAGCATGTAACGCAGCGACATGTGTGGGGAAGGCGGACGCCTTTACAGCGGGTTGCGCGGCGCCCGCCATGCGCGGGGGCCGCGCGCGGGCCCCCACGTCCGGGCCCCCGCCGCCGGGGCCCTCGGGGCCCTCGCCCGCTCCCGACGTGCAGGATACCAGGGGGGAGCAGTTCACCACTGTTAAGAGACGTAGATTGCTTAGATTTTGTATTTGGAAAAATACTTTTTGTTTACATTATAAACATTCAAGAACACAAGTTAGGATTTTTTATAAGCAAGGAATGTAGTAGTCAGCCCTCAAGTTGGAATATAAGTTGCATTAAAATTACGGTCAGCTTCGTCATAACGGTAGCTATGACGAGTAGTAATAATAATTTCTATTAAGGAAAAACATTTTTCACATTAACTTCGATACATATTTAACGCACTGAATTTATGTAGCAATATATTCACTGAGAGAAGATATAAAGTACTTATATAATTAAAAAAACTTACCAGGTTTCTTGTATGAGTTAAGCGGCGCCCGCGCAGCCCTTTCCCCGCCTTCTTCCAAATAGTTGTAAGCAGCGCTGATACACTTGCTGAGACGAGCTCGACACCTGTAAAATGATGACATTGAACTGAGTGTTCTTGAGCAGTGTCTTTTTTTAACTTTGATTTTGACTTTGATTCATACTACGACTTTTCTATCACATTCAAACTCAGAACAACAATTTAAAGTGCAGTTGAACATAAAAGATGCTTATGTATAACATAATATATACAACATCACGCCTTTTTATCCCCGAAGGAGTTGGCAGAGGTGCACATCATGGCATTTAATGCCCCTGTGTGTACAATGTAACACCCGCTTTTCACTATTTATGTTATGAGTTCATGTAATAGAGTGAGACTATTACCATATACCGGGCACAATTCCAGACTCCGTGCTACTACTGAGAATTTAAAAAACCCAGTAATACTTTGACCGACTCGGAATCGAACCCCACACCCCTTAGCCAGCAGTCGCACTTGCGACCACTCGGTCAACGAGGCAGTATTAACTATAAATAATTTTATCACATAGCGTTCATACCTCCAGTAAAGTACAGCAACTGCGATAGCGAAGACCAGCAATGGACAGATGGCCAACAGGGCCACGTTGCTGACGGCACCCGGCACCGGCGTGTCCATTGGGGACATCGCCTCCGAGTGCGCCGCGCACCACTCGCTTGACACCTCCTGGACATAAACACATTCAATTGAAATATACGGCTCATGTCAAAATACTCAAACACCAGTAAATTTTAATGCCGGAATACTGAAACGTTACTCAATTTTAAGTGCTTAAATATCGTGCCAACTCTGTCATTTTACAAAGAATTTGGAGACAGAAATATACTTAAGCGCGACTTAAATTTGAGTAGCGTTTGTGTATTCCGACGTATGTCACATTTAAGTATAAATCAGTCTATACAAATTCTTTATAAAATGACAAAAAAGGCACGATATTTAAATACAACTAAGAATTGAGTTATGAGTACCCTTTCAGTATTCGTACGTAACATGGACTATATCACCCAAGAGAGAGGCATGCTTCGCCACGAATGGACCAGCTCGAGTGTGTACTGAGATACCATGGCCACAAAACACAGTAAGTGTGGTTACCGGAGGCCGGAGGCACAACCCTCCCCCATCCGCAATCCCAAAAGGATAGCAATGCACTTGTAAATCCACTACCAATAAAGTGTTGCCCGTGTCCACCGGAGGCGTTGATTGATTATTGCTGACCATCCGAAGGGTAGATGCCTATTTTTTTATTTTAACGTCCGTCTGGTAGATTGTTTTAGATCATTAGACACGTATTTTTTATTTTCTTACAGAAACGAATACGTCACTTCTATGTACATTTTATACGTAGAAATGACGTTTTAGCCGCCACTCCTAAACTTTGATTCGTTTTATTTAAGTATTGTTTTATTATACGACAAAACAAAAAAATACGTATCTAAATTTTTCATTACCTAACTTACGGACTAATTATATTTTAATTTTATACCCTGTCATCATCATTGTCAGGCACACAAGCCACTTTAATATATTAGCTGTCAGTCAACAGAAATAGTACTAACCTCTGGGTTGGACTCGACACCGTTGATAAAGGACTTATCTCTGGCCACGGACTGGGTAACTGCGTACACCTTCACTTCGTACCGCGTCACGTTCCACAGATCCACTTCCTGGAAACAAACATTTAATTTAAAAAAGATATTATACAACTAGCTTCTACACGCGGGTCGGCCAGAATTATCGTAGTATCAAAAGTAGCCTATGTGCTCTTCCAAACCATAATCTACTATTGTTCCCCGATCCCTTTACCCGTTTTGACGTGATTAAGTAACAAACATACACACTAACTCACTCACAAACTATCCCATTTAACTATATAAATAAAAATGAATTTCCATATTAATTTATTCTCATGTAAATATAGCACTCAATTTAATATGACAATAAAATCATATAAATAAATTAAAGTTTAATAACTGCAATTAAAGCTGTTGTCTTATTATTATTTGGAAATGTCACAGCATTTTAATATATTTTATTATATCAATAAATTTTTGGGACCTTTTGTAACTCAATGTAACCGTAATTCCGTCCATTCGTTAGTATCGCTAAAACTCGAGAACGGCTGAACCGATTTAGCTAGTTTTGGTCTTGAAATGTTCGTGAAAATCCAGGGTTAAAAGGTGACATTTTTTTATAGGCGGGACGAAATTTGCCTGTTCAGCTAGTAATATTGTATTAGTAAGATTAGACTCAAATAATGTTCTAAAACTGTTACCAGACTCTGACTTTATTTAAACCCTCTTAAAATAGCATGTTATGTGTATAATATTGCCAAGCATAGTGGATACCTATACTATTTTCCGCCTGTAGAATGCCACTTTAATACCTATCTGAGTGACCTAATTACGATCTCAAAGATGTCTGCCATTTTGTTTTTAATGTAGACGTCTTTTCTCTAATAACCACACGACATGGAAATGGATTTACCTCAACAAATCCGATCGACAGATGAACATACTTCTCTATTGTTTCTGACTGTCTGTTCGCGATAAATATAGAAACTACAACAAAAATTACCTAGTCAGTGTTCTAATTACGTACCATAGAAAAATATTCAAAAAAATGATCAACGAGAACTGTTGTCGAACCGAGAATTAAACCGCAAAAAAGCTAAAGAACTGAATTTAAGATAAATTGAATTAGTTTAGTGTAGGAATGAAAAACTTTTAAATACCTTTATTACCGTTGCGAGCACTTCACATGAATTATTAAAAACAACTAAATCACAAGCATATTGTAATTATGATTCTTGTTTCCTCATGAACATATTGTTTCCTTATACAGTTCCGAGATTTTATACTAAATTCCATTCTATATGTTATACAGTAACATAACAAACCCGGTCTGTTTATTACGGACAGAATATAAACTAAAATCGAAATAACGCGTTCACATTTTTGAACATTTTAAAATTTCGCACCTTCGTTGCGCCTTATATGGAAGTGCCATGCTTCCGCACGAGTGAGTGTACCACGGCTTCACAGAAAACTGACGTGAAACAGCGTTTGCATTGTGTTTCGTCGTGTGAGTGCGGTTACCGTAGGCCCAGTTACCTCCTTTCCATCATCGTACCACAAGACAATCCGCGAAGCGTCACCGATTCATTGTAGATGTTCCGCCTACACGCACGAAGCGCTTCGCTTCAAGCTTCCTTGTGCGTACTACTAAAGAGTGGAATTCTTTGCCAGAGTCTGTATTTCCTGAAGGGTATGACCTGGGAGTCTTCAAGGCCCGAGTGAATAGGTTGCTTATGGGACGACGTGCTCCGTCGTAGACCGCATCATCGCTTACCATCAGATGAGACAGTGTTCAAACGTCGCCCCATCAAATATAAAAAAAAAAGTTACCCAATCCCCCTAAACCCCCGGAGGTTATACGCCGGGGTCGTGCGGTCCATGGCCCTCTACGGCGCCCCTGTTTGGGCGCCGAACCTGCTGCAGCGGCCCGCTCGGGCGCTGCTTATGGCACAGAGGGTCATGGCGATCCGAATGATCCGCGGATACCGCACGATCTCTGGGGAGTCGGCGAACCTCCTTGCCGGATTACCGCCGTGGGATCTGGAGGCGAAGGTGCTCGCGCGTGTATAACATGCGCGCGGAGGCACGTCGCCGGGCGAAACTCCGCTGCCGCGCCAGATAAGTGCGTGGCGGGATGAGCTCCCGCGATCTCATGGCGGAATGGCAGCAACGACTGTCGCAACCGAGGGCTGGGCTCGCTGCCATTGCAGCGGTAAGTCCCCTCTTTGAGGAGTGGCTTGAGAGACGCACGGCGTCCTCACCTACCACCTGACGCAGGTCCTCACCGGACATGGAAGTTCGGGAGGTACCTGTGTCTGATGGGGCGGGAGGAAGACGCCCGGGTGTCATCACTGCGAGGACCACCCTGAGGACACGGTGGAACACACTGTTGCGGAATGCCCTGCGTGGGCTGAGCACCGCCGTGCCCTCAGGGAAGTGATCGGCGATGGAGACCTCTCGCGTCCGGGCCTAGTGCAGGCCATGATGCGGAGCGAGGGGGACTGGGATGCCGTCTCCTCCTTTTGCGAAGCAGTCATGTTGGCTAAGGAGGAGGCGGGACGCGTGAGGCAGCGAAGCGCTGCCTCCTCGCAACCCAGCCATCGCGAAGGACACACCGGGCGTCGGGGATCGCGGGACGATCTCCGGCCACCGTAAGCGCGGGCCTGCGGACGGCGAGCATGGGTGGCTCCCCGTCCGACCAGAAACAGACCCGAGCGTACGGCGCGTCGCGTTCCGCGCGCGCCTCAAAGAGCCATCAGACCACCACAGATGGGGCCCAATAGGGCCGATGCCGTAAAGATTATGGAAACCCCTTCTTATGTAGAGGCGTACCAAAGTCCAGCAGTGGATTCCTAAGAGCTGTTAATGAAGATCTCGCAAGATGAAAACTTTTGAAGGCAAATCCTCTGCTAACGTAGGTGACCGGTGCCGGTGACCTTACGCGGCGGTTAACGTATTAAATTATAAGCACCGGTGGTGAAGAATGATATTACAAAAATTAACCGACTTTGGCTGACCAAAGACGGTTAATTTTTGGAGGATTTATCTGAATAAATCCTACGAATATAATAAATGTGGAAGTTTCTGAGAATGTAGTTTGTGTTTGTTATTTTTTATACTACGGGAACACAGACAAAGCCACTGACAGAACCACTTAAATCTAAATTTATATTGCGCAATATAAAAATTAACAACGTCGACACAGATTGTGGTAAGCGCCATCTATCATATGCCACAATGTATTTACAAGTAAAACTTCAACTTACTATGGGTATTGTAGTTTCAATATCATTCTTGTTGGTCGGTAGGGTCAGTCTGGTCCTCGGTTGCTGTTCAGGTATCTTCCTGAGGGTCACTACGTACTGGTCCAAGGAGTTGTTGTACTCTAGGGGCTGACGCCATTGAAGGTATAGTGTACCTGGAGATGAAAGATTAAAGATAGTATGTATTAGTTTTATGGAATTGGGAGGTAAACGAGCAGACGGATTACCTGATGGGAGGCAATCGACGCTGTCCATGGACACTCGTAACACCAGAAGAAATTAAAACTTTGATGCAGGCCTTTTGAAGAGGGAAATCGGGCTTTCTTTTTGCGTTGTACTATATTATGTTATGAATTAAGGACTTTTTACAATTCATTTATGTTTTTCATGCAGTACGGATGGGCAAGTTTTTCTTTACTTTCGACCTTGTAACAAAATCGATAACCCATAAATTGATAGATTGGAGTAACTAGGTGTGCTCATAATATTCAAGCCTTTGTAAAATTCTACATCAAAATTACCTTAGCATATACGTAAAATCAAAACAAATACTTCTTCAAAAATAATAAAGTGAAATAACTCACGTTTAGTCTGGTCGCAAGTTAAATTCAGTATGATAGGAGCGGACGGCGGGATGACGTCAGTTAGCACATACAGGGGTTCCGACTTTGGGCCTAATCTGTCCAATAAATCGGATGACTTCACACCATCCAGCGAAAAGTTGTAGAATGCTCGCACCCAGATCTTGTACGGCGTGAAAGGCTCTGGAAAAAGAAAGACACAATAATATTAATACATTTTTATTTAGGTAAAGTTAAGCTAAAAATATGCTTGCTAAGTGGGTTTAGGGATCACCACCAGCACAAGATCCTAAATTGTTTATTTCGTTCACAGAGTGACGTTAGCAGATAAATCTCAACTTACAAGTTCAAACTAGCTTGAAATAATGTGGCTTGAAAAATGTTTTTATTAAAACCCAAAACTAAAAAACTACCAAACTACCAAAAATTTTTTCAACATGCAACTTCAACTTCAGCCGTCCGTCACAGATAATTTATCACAGACAAGACATACATAACACGATTAGTAATCTAGACAATTAAGATGGGCTTAAAGTATTCTCTATATTAATTGGATGACTGACTGTTTGAGGCACACTTCTAGAAGGTCGAGGTTATAATAAATTGGAATATTATGGCAATTAATGTTACGTTTACGACTTTTAAATTAATACATTGAGGTTAAACCCGTTGTTTACAGGAACGTAGATCCATGCGAGACACAATGTATTTTCTATTGTGTCTCATATACCGGCACTCAAGACTTAAGAATGATAATGTAAAATGGTTCTTATTACATAGTGATAAATAAGGTCCATAATTTATGAGGAAAGATAGAAAGATGTTTTAGACTATTTCCTAGTCTTGCTCTTGTGCAATATTTTATATTTAAAATTGACTAGATTACGTAGTTAACAATGAATACGATTCATACCAATAAGAGATCTATGTATTGCAGTGCATAAACACTTCAACTACATCTGTCAAATCGCGCCAAACTTCTAATCTATGTCCAATTTAATAAAATGTTTACTTACTATTCTTACATAAAAAATGTATAATGTATAAATTCCAACTAATTTGTAAAACTAGAAAGTTATTCCATTAAAATAACTTCATCCAACTACCACAATCCCCATTATTAGCCGAAACTGTTACACAAAAATAAAACAATCGTAAATTGTCACTTACTTAGATTTCTCAAGCGGAACCCGACTACTTTCGTCACCTTCCCGGAAGTGTTTAACAACGTTAAATTCTTGGTCGCCCTCGAATAATTTTCCATGCCTAAATCACTGGGGAACACATTCTTCCTTTTCACATCGGCTGACTTCTGAGTCCCATTGACGATGCTCACGTCATACCGACGTTCCCCCTGCTCGTAGTACAAGACATAAGCCACTTGCGTAGCATTCTTATGTTTCATAGCAAACGCCTTCTTAACCACCTCCTTCGGCTCTATGTTATGCTTAGCCCAAACTTCCAAACTCTTCTCAAAGTGCAAATTTTCATCAGTCCCATTATCCTGTCGTCTCTTTCTATGTCTATGTGATCTTACATCTCTTTTATTCCTATAGTCATCGATAAGGACATGAGATGAGTAATCGTCATTGTATTTTTGTTTGTCGTTTTTATACCAGTTGTAGGATGCGTATTCGAACTCTTTCTGTCGTTCTGGGTTTATGGAGTCTGATGGTGAGTCCTGGCTGAGGACGTCGTTGGCTGGCTCGTCGCCCTGCAGTTCTTGCTTTCTATTTCTTATGTGATCATTGTGAGGTATTAAAGTTTGACTTTTTAAGTCATGGTCTGTGTTGGGAAGGGTGCGCACTGTCATGTTCACTGGCGGGGCCCATGAGAGGTGGACTTCCTCGGTAGTTACATTGTTTGCAGTCAGGTTAAGAGGAGCGGACGGAACTGGAAAGAAAAGAAAAACATTGTAATTTCCACAATAATAGATAACAAAATGATAGTGCAAATGACCCATTCATTCATTCATATTATTACACTATCAATGTGATTAAAGAAAGATGCAGAATTGGTATTACCTAAAGCTGATTAGATAAGACTAGATTTGACAATAAAACAATGAAACAGCGTACCACTACTGCATAATCATAACAAGTCAAAAGCCACGAACAATTTGGTATCTTTAAAAAACATACAGACGAATTAAAAACCTCCCATTTCGGGAAGTCGTCGCACAGTGTGGTATTTGAACGTTTTGGGAGGCAATAAGTCCATTTTACAAAACTTAATGTGGGTAGAAATATAAAGTATCTCGTAAATGTTTACTTACCAATGCACCTCAAACTATCATTATTTTCATCTTAGTTGCAAAAATTTACTTGTGTGGTCAGTCGGAATTTCGTTGTCATTTAAGAAATATTGTTCTTGTGTTTTATTTAAAAAAATCGTTTACTTATAATAGTCAATTATTTTGTTTTGGATTATAATTTCAAGTGAAGTGATATGGATTATGTTATGGCAGGTTAGTGTCTACACTTAACAAATATTTTTAACAGGGTCGATTACTTTATGACTGTTGGACAATATTATTTACGTAACCCTTTTACAATATCATAATTTGCATATATTTTGAAATATCGAGGATAGTAAGTAATACTTCCCGGGGTTTCCCGGCAAAATAAAAGAATGTACAACAAACTTTGATCATTGACGTATAAGATTTCGTTTAAAACGGTCACGGAATCACTTGATTTGTGGAAAACAGGGTGTCCAAACTTTTTAATGTAAAAATGTTATTTATTTCATACATATTATTTTTTGTATCTTTAGAAAATTTATTTATTGTAGGGCCATCCAATGTCAAAATCATGACTCGATTGGAGTTATATGAGTTGATGCAGCGACAAAATTTGTCGAATATCAATGAAAAATTGGATTTCATCGAAAATTATCTCATTGGTTATGATGATTACACTGCTGACCAAATTAAGGATATTAAGCAAAATTTCTCACTCTTGAAGTCCGAAATGAAATCTAGATGGGCTGCGGCATATAATAAAGAGCAAATTTTCATTAAAAGGAATCAAGATTGGTTACGATTCCAAAATTAACTAGCCGGCTGGGGCGTCCGAAAAAATTATTCGAAGAATCAGGTGAAAGAAGCAAAAGGCAAAAAACTGAGGAATTAAGAAGCTCTGTAGAATTGAATGTGCTGACTCATGCTGCTCAGATACAATTGTCAGCTTCTGGCAAGACTTTACTCATGGTGTCCTATGACCCGAACAATGCATAAATTATTGATCCATAGTCCTGATGTGATTAAGCACGCTTTACTTCCAATCAGGCAACTGTCAGAAGAGGCTGCGGAGGCACGCAATAGACACTTTCGTTTATTTCGTCAAAACTTTTCGAGAAAATTCTCAAGGGTGTCTTGCAATCAAGATGTGCTCAACAGGTTACTGCTGACTTCCGATCCTGTAATAACAGGAATGAGGAATATTTCACGAAAGAAGAGTAAACCATTCTTAAAAGAAACCCTTCTTTCTTTCTTGTTGCTTCCGATGGAATCTTATGCAGAATCTTACGGTGGCAATGAGGCATCAGAGTCGGATAGTGAGGGAACTGCTGATGATTCTGAGTTGTGTCAAGAAGATAAATCATTTTCTGACTGATCTGTGTCAAAACATTTAAGGAAAATGCAATTATTTCTGTTAAAAATATTTTTGTAGATTAAATATTGAGAATTTTTTAATTTTAATTAAATATTTTATTTTTTTTTTCAAAAATATTACGTTTTTCATTATTATTTACTTTGTAATAAAAAACAATACTATATGCTAACATAATATCATAGTTACAACCTCTGTGGCCGCCAAAATAATTTTTGCCTCCCAGATCGTTCAAATACCACACTGTGCGTCGGTTAAAATGCATTGCTTTTCGAGCCTAACGACACTTATCTGATTATTAACTCTATTACACGTAGAATACAATACAAAATGACAAAACCTTTTTCCCCTAAAATGACAGGTAGAGCACCCACTTTCTTCAATAATTTTATTTGTCTCGTGTAATAGGGAAAAGCCTATTATCGTACAGGCAATAATGAACTTTGACCTTTAGGGTTTAGGGACTTGTTTGACATGAAAACTCTTAAATTGTTATTTTATTAAATAACTTTGTTTTATTTAAGGATAAATTCAGATGTCATGTTGAGAATTGTCACATACATTAAGCTTAGTTCATCCATTCTTCTTTCTTTAATAGATTTTCAACTTAGTAGCTTTTTTAATAGAATTCAAAACCTAATAAAAAATACACATTTGTTAAACTGACGTAGTTTGTTGACTGCGCCATTGTACTGTCAACATATGACCAATGAAAATATAATAATTACACTCGTCCTTAAGCATATAAAGGACAATATATTAACAAAACATTACTCATACACCATATAAAGACGTACATACATACATGCATACAACCAAACAAACAATCAATCCTCCAAAGTGCGCATGCGCGACAGGGACCGTCAGTGAAACACAATTTATCGTTAAATTCTAACTTTCAACCTTTACAATGTTGATTGTGAGTAAGAAAAAGATATTATTAGAACAGGAGACAGTTTATCAAGAATATTAATTGTACTTGTATCGTTTTGTCACCATCCCAGTAGTTATGCAAATTCACTAATTAAATTAACTATAAATCGCAAGTTACTCACGTAAATGTACTGAGAAAAGCTCTACTAGTTTCGAACCACAGAGGGGTCCTTCGTCATGAGCAGCGTCGCGGTCGCGGCGATGTCGCGCAGCCTACTATACTACAGAGTAGGCTAACCGCGATTAGATTGGATATCCACGATAGTAACCCGCGATTTTTAGTTAATTTAGTATGTCTCACGGTAGTTTTTATAAAAAATCACTAATATACATAGTTACGAGTCCAACAACCATTGTGCAATTATCCTACTTCGGCTCTTCTGTAGAACAAATTATTTGTGTGATCCCTAGATTGTTGTTCGGAGTATCGGTGATCTGAATGTATATGTTAACTCATGATAAAGAAGAAAAACCTTACAAATAATGTGAGGGAGTGTTTAAGGAAAAACGAATCCTATTTCTTTACGAAACAAAAATTAGTTTCATCAATGGAGTGTTGTTCTGAGTCTGAGTGACATGAATACACAAAATATTGTATGATATGAACCCACTATACAGAAAACCTTATAATTGTATCAATTTTCAAAAAACAAACAGCAAAATTAAACCTAACACCTTAACTTTGATGAAGTTTCAGTTCAACAATATTAGTATAGCGAAAATGGCTTCAGTATAATAAGGATTCGCATGAGTTGAGCTCACGATAATCCGTTAGGATTTTGGAACTACGCAGGTCGATAGCTCAAAACGCTATTAAACAACAAACTATAATCCAACTTGTAATTCATCAGTATTGATCAATCAACGCCTATTAAAATCAATAAAAGTTAGAAAATAAATGGTGGAAAATATTAAGAAAGTATAGTGGGTGTCAATGACCCTATCGCTTCATCAACAACGTCATCATACACACAGCCTATAAGTAGCCACTGCTGACCAAAAGCCCCTTCTCACACGGAGAAGGTTTGAGCATTAACCGGCATGGTTGCTCAATGCGGATTGACAATTTTATTATAAACTTATAATTAGAAATTATAGGCTTAGGTTTCCTCGTGATGTTTTTCTTCATTGTTTGTCAATGGTGTCTAAACTAAATAATCTTAGAAAGTACATATTATAACTCGGAAAGAGTCACACTGGTACTTGCTGTTGGTAGGTTTCGACCTTCATGCATGAGAAACTCCGAGCCACCACGACTTATTGTTTGTACCCACACCCAATCGTTTACTTATGAAAAATTAAAAAGCTAATAGAAAGTAAAGACTTCTTTACTCTGATATCGGATTCCCTTGGGAGTTCCAATCATCATCCTCATCATCATATCATCCCATTAGAAAGCCGAAATCGGCTGATTGGAGGCATCAGCATTAAACAAATATCTATGATCCAAAATATCTACTTAAGTCCAACAATAAACTGCTCTGTTCAAAATTAAAACCATAAACGCGATATAAAAGTGAAATTACTAACTAAATTACTTTTTACGCCTTACAACTACTTTCGTGGAATAATGTAATACATATTATTATGTAAAATAAAAAAGAAAACTCTTCCGTAACTGTGATATAACTAGAACGTAGATAAAAAACCGTTACTAGATTAGCTGCGCCTGCGCGCGTAAAAGCCATAGAATATAAAAAGTGCTTAAGGCCGTTTAAAGCACTAGTTCCGTTTCGGCAAATAGCTATAAACCTTAGGAACATGATGATAATCATGTATTTATTTGGGGATTTTACGTCGCTAGAATTTTGGGGATTTTACGTCGCCAGAACCTAAGTATTTTGACCTAGACTAGAGCTATTTCAGCCTTCTAAGATATTTCAGTCTTCTAGTAAATACATTTTTTTTTCAGTCTTCCGTGGTCTTGTATGGACCATGATCTGGATTTAGTACAGTAGTTGTACAATTGATGTTTTGGTGAAACATATTTACCTTGTTTATTTTGATTGAAAATGTGAAAAAGGGTTATAAAAGATCCACTCATAAATGACCCTTCGATGAAAAACAGGATGATGACGCACGTTCCTTTACAAATTTAATTACAATGGGGCGATTAAGCTTTCAGAGTGAAAACGTAGGACGCGAGGTTTCACCAAAAGGTATTAGGCTGCCAAGGCTTGGAAGCGAACAATTAAATATTTTTACTTCCATCGCAAATTGAACATACGTGACGGTTATTCCGTGTACAGAGCCCATTTAATTAAACGAGCTATTATTGTTTTTCCTATTACGTTTAGGCCGTATTGGTTTCATACTCAGTAAAGATTTTTGGGGACCCCTGTTAAT